AACTCTGGGAGATAGTGGAGGACAGAGGAGCCTGGCATGCTACAGTCCATGAGGTGTCAAAAGAGTTGGACATTACTTAGCGACAGAACAACAACAAATTCCACTGTGCTCCTGTTTCAGATGTTTGAGAGTGAAGAGGTATATACACATTTCCTGTGATTTCTGAATAAATTCTTATCTTATTCGACAGGTGGGTTTTCAGAAAAGACATATGAATGGAGCTCTGAGGAGGAAGAGCCAGTGAAAAAGGCAGGACCAGTCCAAGTCCTCATTGTCAAAGATGACCATTCCTTTGAATTAGATGAAACTGCTCTAAATCGAATCCTTCTCTCAGAGGCTGTCAGGGACAAGGAAGTCGTCGCTGTATCTGTTGCTGGAGCATTTAGAAAAGGAAAATCCTTCCTAATGGACTTCATGTTGAGATACATGTATAAACAGGTAGGGAAGAAGTTTAAAAAGTTTTCTGATTTCTGTGCTTCTATCACTTTGTGTTTTTATTTAGTAGTAGTGTCCAGTGTTTCCATTATTGTGTTCCCTAAAGATGAACTAGTTTAAAAATGCTATCGTGTAATCATTCCAACTCTGGTGCTTTGGGGACCAAACTATATAGGCCACTTTCTCTGAAGCCACTTTGCTACATTTCCCTTAGAACATAACACATTTTAAAAAATTCTTTTGAAAATAGACAAGTGCAGTGATACAGTTATAAACTTTACATGTTAGTGTTTAAAATGTCAAATAACTTTTGTCATAATTTGTATCATAGTCATTTTGTGCCCAACATTTACAATGACATTTTTCATACATGCAACAAAGCTAAAAGAACCTTGCAGTGAATACCTGGATGTGCACTGCTTAGATTGTACCAATAACATTAATATTTTTGCTTTACTACTTTGTTGTATCCAGCTATTCTTCCCTGTTTCAATCCATTGCTCCATCTTATTTTTGATTCATTTCAAAGTAAATTGTTGACTTCAGTATTCTTCCCTATAAATATTTCCATACATATCATCATTATGTATCTCAGTATTTATGTAGTTTTTTTTCTTTTGTTGTAACATTTACATGTAGTTACATCTGAAGTGTATTTCTGCTTTTTGGGGGGAAATATAAATACCTGGGTAGCCCCAAATCCTATCAAGTGTATCTTGCTGTTAACCTCACAAAGTTCTGTTATCTTTTCCCACTCAGTTCTCACCTTTAACCCACCCCCAAAGGCAACCAACACGGTGGTAACATTTGAAATAATAGTGTGGCATATAAAAGAGGCTTTAAGGGGCATGCAACCAACCAAAAGCAGGAAGATAAATAGGAGATTAGAGTTGGGGAACAGAAAGTTAGAAGTTGAGAGCATACCAGTATTTTTGTCTACCCTTTTACCCATAGTAATTCAGATGCAAATATGGATGTTGAGGCAGAATAGACATACTATCCAAAGAAACTTTGGGTTATGCATTTATATAATAATTATCCATTTTGGACTGAACTTTTATGTAGGTGAGATATTTTTGAACAACTTTGTAATGTTAACTTTAACATCTTCTATCTCTAGCCTCCAAACAAAATGAGAACAGAATGACCAAAATACATTCAGGCTTTTAAAACAAACAAAATTCTTGCCATTTTCTATGTCTGTCATACCAACATTAGTACACTGCTTAACACAGGTAGGAAAACTGAATGAACAAAATTAGAATACTTACCATTCTTTCAGGTTATGTAGTTTCAGGCATAACCATAATTTTAATTGTGAAATAAACATTAGAATGAAATACTTGATAATGCTTCTCATGTTGCTTATGTCAAATAGTATTTGCTCAAATTAAAGTGTAACATTTGATTTTGTTGTTCTGCACCTACTGCTAGGTGCTTGTCCTCCTGCCATTTGTTCCCTCTTCCCCCAATAGAGAAGCATTTGTGTATATTATTATTGTGTATATCTTGACATAATGTTCTCTCTCGTACCTTTATTTCTTTGTTTCTGGAATGCCCTCACTGAGTTTGCTCACCTGGGAAATGCCTAAACATCTTTCAAGTCTTAGCTCTAATATCGCTTCTCCTGTGATGTCTTAACTGACTAAGAGTTGCTTCTGTCTATATGCTTCCAGTTATGTCTAAAATACACACCCATTTTGGCATGCATGTATCACATCATAATGCTTTGTTATCATGTCTGTCCCTCCTATTAGGCTGTGAGCTTCCTCTTATCTGGAATGATATCCTTGTATCCCCAGGACATAGCATAGTGTGTGACATATGATTGCTCTTCTATATTAATTTTTTTGAATGTGTAAGTAAGGCAATTGTATCAGTATAATAGATGTGTATATGTTGTTTTCCTTTTGTCTAGATTTGAAGAGGAATACTAACTGGTACGGGTGAGTAGGAGAACCTGTACCACATATCTAGTTTAGTATCATAGACTTTCTTAATTTATAGGAATCAGTTGATTGGGTTGGAGATCACAATGAACCATTGACCGGTTTTTCGTGGAGAGGTGGGTCTGAACGAGAGACCACAGGAATCCAGATATGGAGTGAAATCTTCCTTGTCAATAAACCTGATGGTAAAAAGGTATGATGTGAACTTCTTAAAGAAAATTGAGTTTTCACTTACCAGCAGTTACCACTTTTCAGGATCCTCAAAAATGCTCTTTTAAGAGACTCAGATGTATAGAACAGACTTGTGGACTCTGGGAGAAGGCGAGGGTGGGATGTTTCAAGAGAACAGCATTGAAACATGTATATTATCTAGGGTGAAACAGATAACCAGCCCAGGTTGGGTACATGAGACAAGTGCTCGGGCCTGGTGCACTGGGAAGACCCAGAGGGATCGGGTGGAGAGGGAGGTGGAAGGGGGGACTGGGATGGGGAATACATGTAAATCCATGGCTAATTCATTTCAATGTATAACAAAAACTACTGTAATGATGTAAAGTAATTAGCCTAGAAAAAAAAAAATAAAACATACTAAAAAAAAAAAGAAAGACTAATGGAGACAAAAAAAAAAATGCTCTTTTAAAAACTAATTTTGACCATTTGACATGAAGTTTAAAAGGGAAGTGGGTAGCATCTTATTTCGTGTTCCCAGCTTAATTGCTATTGATCACAGTAGGCAAAATCATAGGTACAGTAGAACAGCAGATCAATTAGCAATGCTATTTCTGTTTTGTTGGATTGCCAGTAAAAATTAATCATTATAGTATTCAGCAGCAAGTTAATATTTCTATTTTCAGTGGCATTCATGGCACGTGTGAAAAATTACCTAGTAAATATTCATTGCTGATGGTTTGCTTTAGTCCTTATGGTGTTAACTTTGTGGTAACCCTAATGCCCTGCATGTTCTATAAATTATCAATAATGTACTCTATTTGCCTACAGGTTGCAGTACTATTGATGGATACTCAGGGAACCTTTGATAGTCAGTCAACTTTGAGAGATTCAGCCACAGTATTTGCCCTTAGCACAATGATCAGCTCAATTCAGGTATGGAATGAAATAAATCCATTTTGATGGATATTTCTTTAAATAAAATTATGAATATATGTACTTCTATGTAAATGTGGTAGTGAGACTAACAGAAATGTAAATTATATATATATTATTTGACTCAATTAGCATACCAGTTTTTATTATTTCTTTAAGAGTAGAATTGTTTCTAATTACTGTAATATAATTTCTGATCGGTTTTCAAATTGCATACTTTAACCATAAAGCATTATCTTATTGATAATTTTTTCTATTTAAAGTCTACAATCCCCGGGTGGCTCAGACAGTAAAGTGTCTGCCCACAATGCAGGAGACCCGGGTTCGATCCCTGGGTCAGGAAGATCCCCTGGAGAAGGAAATGGCAACCCACTCCAGTATTCTTGCCTGGGAAATTCCATGGATGCAGAAGCCTGGTGGGCTACCGTCCATGGGGTCACAAAGAGTCGGACATGACTGAGCGGCTTCACTCACTTCAAACTCAATAATATTAATGTATGTAGTTACATTGTGACCACCTATTCTAAGTTATATTTAATGAAACAAAATTTATGGATGTAAATTTTGTTTTGCATACCTAGTAGAAACATTACTAAATGTTTATATATACACACACAACTTTTTATAGTACCTTAAGGTACATTTGCTGGAGATGGAGATGGCAACCCACTCCAGTATTCTTGCCTGGAGAATTCCATGGACAGAGAAGCCTGGCAGGCTACAGTCCATGGGGTCTCAAAGAGTCGGACATGACCAAGTGACTAACACACAAGGTACATTTAGGAAAGAAAATGTCTTTCTCTCCTTCTCTCTCTCTCTCTCTCAAGTATTGTTTTTGAAGTTACTGTACACTTTATGAATTGTCCTGAAAGCCCTTAAGGCTTTACTATGATTATAGAACACATAGCATAAACATTTTAAGATAATTTTTAGATATTTTCTATTCACTAGAAAGAGCAAGAAGAGAAAGTGACCAAGAAACAGGCCATTAAAGAAAGGTAAAATAATTTTAAAGGGTAGGAAAGGCAGAATAGTTAGAATGCACAAATCAAAGCTGAGATCATAAGCATGTAGGGAGAATGGACCTAGTGAACAGGCAACCAGCGCGTTATGTGTAGCTAGGACATGAAAAAATGGATAGAAGGAAGACTGAATTTTTTTATAAAGAACTTTAAAATGAAAGTCATGATTATAACCTATGACTGACTAGTTTTTTTTTAATAAGTGTAAGTTTCAGGTGTATAATATTATAGTTCACCTTCTGTATACAGTGATCACACCGTAAGTCTAGTTTCCATCTATCACACATAGTTACCCCTTTTTATCCATTTTGCCCAGCCCTCACCCCTCTTGTCCACAGGTAACCACTAATCTGATCTCTGTGAGTTCATTTTTATTTTATTTGTTCACTTATTCCACATGAGTAAAATAACATGGTATTTGTTTTTATCCATTTGACCCATTTCACTTGGCAAAATATCATCAAAGTCCATCCATGTTATCACAAAGGCTGGATTTCCATCTCCTTATGGCTGAGTAGTGATCCAGTGTTGGAGAAGGCAATGGCACCCCACTCCAGTACTCTTGCCTGGAAAATCCCAAGGATGGAGGAGCCTTGTAGGCTGCAGTCCATGGGGTCACGCTGAGTCGGACACGGCTGAACAACTTCCCTTTCACTTTCACGCATTGGAGAAGGAAATGGCAGCCCACTCCAGTGTTCTTGCCTGGAGAATCCCAGGGACTGGGGGAGCCTGGTGGGCTGCCGTCTATGGGGTCGCACAGAGTCGGACACGACTGAAGCGAGTTAGCAGCAGCAGCAGCAGCAGTAATCCAGTGTGTGTGTGTGTGTTACATCTTCTTTATCCATTCATCCATTGTTGGACACATAAGGACTTTCTGTATCTTGGCTACTGTAAATAGTGATGTATTGAACATAAGGGTGCATATATCTTTTTGAATAGTATTTTCATATTCTTCAGATAAATACCCAAATGTGGAATTGCTGGGTCATATGGTAGTTCTGTTCTTAATTTTTTAAAAATCTCCATACTGTTTTCCCTAGTGGCTGCACAAATTTTCAATCCTATTAACAATATATGAAGGTTTCCTTTTCTCCACATCCTCTCCAACATGTAATTGTTCCTTATCTTTTCAATAATAGCCACTCTAACAGGTAGGAGGTAGTATCTCATTGTGGTTTGTTTACTCTTTTAATGTATTGTTGGTTTCAGTTTGCTAATATCTTGTTGAGGATTTTTACATCTATATTCATCAGGGAATTGGCATAGTTTTCTTTTATTGTGGTGTCCTTCTCTGGTTTTGATATCAGGATAATGCTGGCTTCATAAAATGGATTTGAAAATTTTTTCATAATATTTTTACAAAGATAGATATTAAATCTTCTTTGAATGTTTTATAGAATTTGGCATTGAAGCCATCTGGTCCTGGGTTTATGTTTGTTGGGAGATTTTTGATTCCTGTTTCAATCCCTTTTTAGTTATCAGTTTATTCAGATTTTTCTTTTTTAATGATTCAATCTTGGGAGAGTGCATGTTTCTAGAAATTTATCCATTTCTTCTAGGTCATCCAATTTGTTGACATATAACTGTTCATAGTAGTCTCTTATGATCTTTTGTATTTTTGTGGTATCAGTTGTAATTTCTCCTCTTTAATTTCTGATTTTATTTATTTGAACCCTCTTTCTTTTTCTCTTGGTGAGTCTAGCTAATGACTTGTTGATTTTATTTATCTTTTCAACTAGCTTTTAGTTACATTGGTATTTTTATTGTTTTTTAATCTCTATTTTCTTTATTTCTGCTCTCATCTTTATTATTTCCTTCCTTCTACAAACTTTGGGTTTTGTTCTAGTCTCTTTAGGTGTAAAATTAAATCATTTATTTAGGAATTTTCTTGTTTTTTGAGGTAGGCCCATATTGCTATGAACTTTCTTCTCAGAAGCATTTTTGCTACATCTCATGGATTTTGATATGTGGTATTTCTGCTCTCATTTATGTTTTGGTATTTTAAATTTCTCCTTTTATTTATTTTATGATCCATTGATTATTCAGTAGTGCATTATTTAATCTCCACATTTTCCTGTTTTTTTCCCAATTTTTTTTCTTGTGAATGATTTTAATCTCATACCATTGTGGTTGGAGAAGCTGCTTTGATATGATTTCATTCTTCTTTGAATTTATTAAGATCTGTTTTGTGACCTGACATGTCCTTGAGAATGGTTCACTTGTGAAGTATGTATATTCTGCTGTTTTTTGACGGAATGATCTTTATGTATCTGTTCAGTCAATGTGATCTAATGTGTTGTTAAGTCTGATGTTTCCTTGTTGATTCTCTGAATGATCTATTCATTGATGTAAGAAGTAAGGTTGACTAACTTCTAAAAATATACTTCTTAATTTAATTAGCCTTTAAAATACTGACTTAATATCTAACTTCTAACAAGTCAATTAAAAATAGATTATTTTTGCCTTTTAAATAATTATTATTTATATTTTTCCTGTAGGCATTAAATATTTTCACTGAAAAATCTGCTAAGTCCTTAGTAATGACTATTATTATCTGAGAAGTGATCTGTTATTGAAAAAGTACACAAAGTATACTGTTTGTATCAGTACATAAACAAACATCTTTAACTTTTCTTTGAAGTTACTGATATCTATCCTCTCTTCCTCTTACTTTAATCTATTCATGAAGCAATAAAGCATGTGCCTGAGGATGTAAGCAACATATTCAGAACTTCCTTGTGATGAAATTTTCTATAGACTTAAATAATTGATTGTAAAGAAGCCAATATAATTTTTCAAGACAAAATTTTATATATGGGTTATTAAGATCCAGATTGCTATTCTTTTGGTAAGCTTATAAGAATGATTATTTTAATACTAATTGATGAATTAGGTTCATAAAATAATTTTAACATTCTGCCTCCAAAACAGGTGGCTACTATATTTCTGGAACAGTTTTATGATCATTGTATTAATGCATTGTTTACTGTCTCTCAGGCTTTCTTTACTTTTCTCTCAAGGTCTTACAAATATCATTATAGAAGAATATACACGAAAGAGTTTGATTTTATGATAGTAAATGTTTCAAAAATAGAGAATAGCAAAATAAGTGCTTAGTATGTTGCTAATTATTTTCTCATTTTGATTTTATTTCTTAATCAAGGTTTATAATTTATCTCAAAATGTCCAAGAGGATGATCTTCAGCACCTTCAGGTAACAATATTTATAGTCTCTTTTTATATCTGGTAATCTTTTGGGCGTGTATAGCAGAACTTTGAGACTTTGTCAGGCCTTCTTGTACTTGGAAAATGTAACAGTCAGAAAGATTTAAAAACATAACCAAATGGAAGTTGTCACATTTCCAGGTTTCTTGTTCTAACCCTGTATGCTTATGTTCTTTCTAATTCAATTTTCAAGGTCCTTTGTTTCAGTAAAGCTACTTGCTTGTCAACCCTGTATATAGGAAAATATATGGCACGTTAGAGAGGAAAAAGAACCTTTGGCTTAAAAATGGTCCAGAATGTGAAGTTGAAGTCTTATGGTCAAGGATTTAATAATTGTTAGTATAATAACAGTTATATACCAGATTGTTTTCCTGTGGACCACTTTATAGCTATGGGTGAACACCTGATGGTAACTCATAGAATTCTATTTTAGATCTGAAAGAAACCTCAGTGACATCTAACTTATCCTTAATATTTTACGAATGAGAAATTGTTTCTGAAAAAGAATGAGTTGCCAGTTAGTGACAGAGTGGAAAAAGAAACCTCATCATCTGATTGGACTCGGTGTTTCTTTCACTCTCCAGGCAGCATTTAAATCTCAAATTAGTAGAAGATTAGATATTTCCTAAAGGTAGTTCTCATCTCTGTCACACTCTCTACTCTCTTTCAATTCTTGTTATTATTAGCTACATATTAATAGAAAAACCTATTTTTTTCTCTGATAGTTTCCCTCTGCATATTTTACAGAAAATTTTGCTTTTAATATATTATCTTGGCAATAAGGGCCCTATGCAGTGTAACAGATAACAAAGGATAATAGCACAGGGTGATATGTGAGGCTGGAACTATTATTTAGAGTTCACTTCTAGCATTACTCCCAAATATGTTTCTGGTACATCACACTGATCAATTATGAAAAATAGACGATATGCTGAATAATTGTTAGATGTTTCTCTGAGTGAGTACAACTGCTTCTTTAGGTGTGTGTCATAACCTAGCCAGTTAATGACATGGCACTATCCAATACCTGTTTAAGATTTCTAAAAAAGGACTGATTTTGGACTGTGATATTGAGTAATTAATCAATCTCTTTTCGAGATCATTTAAAAATTTTTCCTGTAAATGGCATCACCTCATCCTTTCTCAGAAAAGATTGTGAGTTCAAATTTTGTTAGTATATGATTCTGATGAAAATGAGTAATGATTCTGATTCCAAGACCAGCTTTTAAACATAATATTCCAGACTTTCATTTAATTACTATAATCAGATACCTAGTTATTATAATTTGCTTTCTAGAGTCCCAGTTTTCACAGGAGAGGCAATGTAATTCTTTGGGGGCTATTCTGAAAGGCCAAAGGAGGGAAGTCCTCTGTGTCAGCACCCTCCCCCAACTCAGACGCCTCTGTAGCTTGCTACTCTTTTGTGGCAAAGTGGCATTTCCTTTGTGCACATCGGGAAACCCACTTGGCCAGTCTGAACTGAACTCTCAGCAGAGGCCCAGTCACAGGGACCCCCTCAAGTCTGTGTTCTCTAAAACCTTACATTTCTGGCGAAACAAAATGATATGGTACCTCTCAATTGGGAGCGATAAAAAATAAAAGGTGGTTTATTTGATTCTTCACTTTTTAAACCAAATGTCTGTTGTTATTGTCGGTCAGTCGCTAAGTCGTGTCCGACTCTTTGCGACCCTATGGACTTCCACACCAGGCTTTGCACGCCAGGCTTCCCGGCCCTTCACTATCTCCCGGAGCTTGCTTAAATACCTGTATGCCTTTGTAATAATCGAGGCCATTGTGCCATTAAATTTCCTCAGGCAACAATTTTTGTAAATTATCCTACTTAGTTTATAGCTCTCTGGTCTAATCTATGCAAGTTTTGCTTTGAAAGGTCATTTCACATGTTTCTTTGTCTCTTATCTTCCCCACAAAAAAACTGTCCTACATTCTAGATATAAAAGGTGTTATCTTTAAAATGGACTATGTCCTTAATTTTAAAATATATGATTACTGTAGCTCTACTTAATCTAATACTTAGTTACTTAAAATGATTACTGCAGTCTTAATAATATAGTATTATGTTACAGCTAAAGAAAAAAATCAGTGAAAGAAAGCCAAGAAGATACTGAAGTTTTCTCTCTTTGTGTGTGTGGGTGCATGTGTGTGTGCGTGCGGGTGTGTGATTTTCATTGTAGCTTTTCACTGAATATGGCAGGCTAGCAATGGAAGAAACGTTTCTGAAGCCATTTCAGGTGAGTGGGTATTAAATGATGACAAATTCTTATTAGAGTTTCCCGAAGACTATAACAAGGTATATTAATTGAGAGAGTCATGTTTCTTTCTCCATTCACAATAGCAAAAAAAAAAAAAGAAAAACACTTTGATAGTAAAGTAGAAAAATCCAAAATATAAAGACCTTTATGGAGAAAATATTTTCAAAATTTCATTAAAGATCATAAAGAAAAATTTTTATAAGCTAGAGAGATATAGTATGATTCCAGACGGAATGGTTTAATGTTGTGGAGAATCTAATTTTCCCCAAATTAACCAATAAACTCAGTGCAATTCCAATTAAAACTATAACAGAATTTTTTGAGAAATGCAACACATTTTTCTATAACTTATCTGGAAAAATTAAGTTCTCTTTTAAGTCAGTTTTTAAAAAGGAAATCCAAATTGGGGGATTGAATACATAATAGAGAACCATAGCAATGAAAATGGTGCGATTCTGTACAAATATGAGGGAAAAAACCTGATGAAACTAAATAGCGTTCAGAAATATCTCTCTATATATGAAAACTTGGCATTCATTAGTGGTCACATCATAAACCAGTGGGAAATGAGGGTTTGGAAAAACTAACTCACTTTTTGAAGAAAAAAATTGAATTTCTACTGAACACCATATATGGAAGGGATTCCCCAATTGTATTAAAAAACTAAATAAGGAATTTAAAAGTATAAAGTTAATAGAATAAAATATTGGAGAATATCCTTCTGAACTAGTGTGAAGAAACATTTATTCACTAAGACTCCCCCAGCAAAAAATGTAATGAAAAATTGATAGATATTACTATATCAGAATAGAGTATTTCTGTTTATCAGAAGACTCTAAACAAAGTGACTGGATTGGTAGAAGGTACTAACAGTGTCAAAAGTCAACAAGGGATTAATGTATAGAATGTGCAAGGAAGTATTGCAGTTAAGAATTGGATGCCCATCAAAAACTGGCAAAGGAACCAATATACACCCATGAGAATGGCCAAATTCCATAGCACTGACAACATCACATGTTCTCACATGAGACTGTAGAGCAACAGGAACTCTCAAACATTTGTGGTGGGAAGGCAAAATGGTACAGCCACTTTCAAAGCTAGTTTGGTGATTTATTAAAAAACTAAAGATACTCTTACTATACAATCCAATGATCATATTTACCCAAAGGAGTTGAAAACTTACATCCACACAAAATCTCCACACAGATGTTTATAGCAGCTTTATACATAATTGCCAAAACTCGACAGCAACCACGATGTCCTTCAGTAGTTGAATAGATATACAAACTGTGGTACATCCAGACGACAGAATGTTATTCAACAAGAAAAAAGAAAAAATGAGCTATTGGCCACAAAAAGGCATAAAGTGTTCACTCAGTTGTGTCCAACTCTTTGCAATCCCATGGACTGTAGCCCACCAGGCTCCTCTGTCCATGGAATTCTCCAGGCAAGAATACTGGAGTGGGTTGCCATTCCCTTCTCCAGGGGATCTTCCCAACCCAGGGATTGAACCCATGTCTCCCACATTGCAGGTAGATTCTTTACTATCTGAACTACCAGGGAAGACATAGAGAAATCTTAAATGCATATTACTAAACAAAAGAAGCCAATCTGAAAAGACTGTACACTGTATGATTCCACCTATATGATACTCTGGAAGAGGCAAAACTATGGAGACAATGACGAGATTGTTTTGGGGTGATTTGGGGTACACTAGGGGTGCAGCATGAGGGGCAGAGAAATGAACAGGCAGAGCGCAGAGGAATTGGGAGGAAGTGAGAATACTCTTAAGATATAATGATGGATATATATCATTATATGTAATGACATTTGTCCAAAGCCATAGAATGAACAACACTTAGAGCAAACCCTAAGATAAGCTCTGGGCTTCCCTGATCGCTCAGTTGGTAAAGAATCCGCTCGTAGTGTAGGAAACCCCAGTTTGATTCCTGGTGGGAAGATCCCCTGGAGAAGGGATCGGCTCCCCACTCCAGCATTCTTGGGCTTCCCTGGTGGCTCAGCTGGTAAAGAATCCTCCTGCAATGCGAGAGACCTGGGTTTGATCCCTGGGTTGGGACGACCTCCTGGAGAAGGGAGAGGCTACCCACTCCAGTATTCTGGCCTAGAGAATTCTATGGACTATTCCTATGGGTTCACAAAGAGTCAGACACAACTGAGTGACTTTCACTTTCAGATAAGCTGTGGACTTTGAGTGATTATGATATCAATGTAGTTTTATTCTTGGTTTAAAAAAAGATACTATTCTGGTGAGTGATGTTGATAGTAGGAGAGGCTATGCATGTGTCAGGGCAGGTGGTATATTTACAGCAAATCTTTGTACCTTCCTCTCAGTTTTACTATTCTAAAAAAAGTCTTAAAAAATCACAAACCATCAAAAAATGATAAACTGAACTTCATTTAAAAGTTAGGCAGTTAAAGGAAACCTGAATGACTAACACATTTTCTAAGGAATGTTAAATCTTATTGATAATCGATTAAAAATTAAAGTAACGAGATACCACTTTTACACTCATTAGGTAGGCAAAAAATGGAACATGGGAATAAGTACCAAATGATAGCTAGAATTTGGATAAATGGGAACACTCAGACCCTATTGGTTAATAAGTGCAGCTTGTAGCAGCGGTTCTCTGGAGCAGGGCAAATATATAAGGATACTCATTGTAGCATTCATAGATCCATAGTAGCAGGAAGTTGTAGGCAGCACAGGTGTCTATCACTTGAAGAACAGATACATAAAATAGGGTGAAAGACATACTCTGAAATATTTTGCAACATCCAAAGGCAATGAACCCAAAGTATAAGTAACATAACTAAAGTATTAAAATTTATACTAAATTAAGTAGGGGAAAAGTTTGAGTTCTCTAACATGATTTGTTATTTATAATATGATTTGTGATTATTTAAAACTTAACATATGTAAAATAATTTATGTTAGAATGAGTGTGGTTGAGAGCAGACAGTTGATGGGAGTGGGAATCTGGGGAAAATATGATAAAGTAAAACAAAAAAGGGACCTTCGCATGGAAAGATGTTGGTATGCTATGAGTGAAGGAGGGTGAGTCTCTCCTCTGAGATCTGGAGAAGCAGGTGGGGAGAGGAGTTGAGGTAGAATGAAATGAATCGCTGCTTAGTCTCCTGTGTGGTTTATAATACCTGTTAGACTCTGTTGTCTTTTTAAAAATAATTTGTCGTGTTAATGGTTGAAGTATTATATTATAATTGGGCTATTTGCTTTCATTTTTCTTTTCTCTGAACTTGCTGCCTCAGAACTCATTGGCATAGATTGGGTAACTCCATAGTAATTCTGGAAAGGAGTTTTCAGTCTTACCAGCAGGTGTCACTGCTTCTTATGCTTGGCTAGATAAACTGAAACCAAAAGAAACCAACCAGTGCTCTGTTGATGGACAGATGGATGGATAGATCGATAGGCCAACAGGCCTTTGGTAAAACAAAACTAACAAAAACAATGAATTGAAAACAAACAGTAGAAAAAACTTTGAGATTACTACTTGCTTGTAAACTGTTGGCATTACAAAAGAAAAAATTATGATTGAATGAGTTAACATTGACTTCCAAACAGGTTTTGACTTATAAATCTAAGTATCTGAAATTGAAATGAGAAACTCATTAAGTAGCAAAAGTGGCTTCCAAAGCTATTTAATAATTTAAAATTAAAGCAACCAAATTCAAAACAAAAATACTATACCACATGAAATTAAAAGACAAAATGTAAATATACTCAAATCACAGAACAACATTTAAGATATCAGCAAAATGATTCACATTTAAATTAGAAAAAAACATAGAAAAAGTTCTGAAATAAAATAGCTTTTAAATAAAAGTTTAATTCAGCAGTTTTTTTATCTGGTCACTGTTCCTATCCTCTTCCTCTGAGAAAATAGCAGTATTATTTGTTTGGATAAAACTGTGGAGAAATTTTAAATACTGCCTGAGAAAATAAAGTGATGGGCAGTGATATTTTTAAAATAACAATTTATTATTAAAAACTAAATTTGACAAATTTAAAATAGAATTCTTAACTCGAAACAGAGTGAAGCTGTAAATAATAAATAAGATCTGTCTCAGACAGCAATAGAGAGGGCAATTAGCCAGTGAAATGAATAGCTGAATTAACAGATTAATTTGATTTTTAAACCAAAAGTCAATTTATACCAAACAAACAAAATATCTATAATTCTATTTTAAAACTATGTTTTTAGAAAGAGAACTAAAAGTGGATTCAGTTTAAAAGCAATTTTGAAGTGTTAAGTTTAGCCAGTGGTATGCTGGTTAATGTTTGTAACTGGCTAGAGAGAAGTGGGAGGTGGGTCTGATTGTAGTAGCATTTGCTGATTTCTGTGGTGTAAATAGTTTCATTGTGGCCAATTTCAGGCTACCGACATGCTATCTCCTGATTTGTAAAATTCCTCAGATTTTAATAAGTCTTCCAAGGGAGCCCATAAAAGCCAGCTGTAGACTATTTAGTACACTCAAGAAGTAAATTCATATTAAGACATAGAATTCTCTGACATGACTTAACTTTCCCACTTGTCTTGCTCATTGTGAGCACTTGAATCTTAAGTATAACAGTCCAGCAAGCGCTACCTCATTAATGTAACTGTTCTTTAAAAATAGTTAAAATAACTTGGCTCTTTAGTTCCTCTGCCTTAGGACTTCAAGAGGTTCAGTTGAGAATGAATACATTTCTGTTAATTTAAACATGTAATACCCATAAATATTTGAGAGGGACATTAGAAAATAATTTCCAGCTTTCTGTAAGGACCTGATGGAAAATACCTCATGAGATATGGTAGGATATTTGTCTGTACTTTGGCCTATGAATTTTTCTTCCTTGGTTATAGGGCACACCAGGCCCCATATAGCTCTATGAGATGATTACATCCTTGGGTCAAAATCTCTATTAGGAATTTTTCTGATTGTTAGACATTATTTGAAGT